TTTCTATGGACGGAAAAGAGCAGATACGGATCAAATGGTTTTCAATGCATTCCTATGGGAAATGCAGATTTGACCTGAGAACTTTTTGACTTGAGAACCGCCTTCCAATACGGATTAAGTTCTCAAGTCAAGCCCCCACTGTACCATCCCTAGCCCCTATTGACACGTGGAGTGCCTCTAGACTTGGCTTTACCACCGAGGAGCGCCTAGCAACCTCTAAGTTGGATTTATAAACAATGGCTACTCCCCCCCGCCCCTCCAGTCTACCCTGGTGATGGACCGCATAACCGGGCGGGCAGATGAGAGCCAGGGGAGGACCACCCTCCCCATTAAGCCACGTCTCAGCTTAATGGGCTGGCTACCTCGGTACTGAGGGGTGGTCATAGTGTCAGAACAATGAACAGCCTTTAAGCATCCGTTCATTGTTCTTCTAACACGAGTAGGGACTGCGCCAATGCCATATCTCCCTCTACCCGTGATCACAGGGATGATAAAATGCCCCTCAGTGGGCGAACAGGCCTTCCACTCCATGTCCAATGAAGGAAAAGAAAAAGAAAAAGAGAGAGAGAGAGAGAAACACCCAATCCCTAAGTTAATAAAACAAATATATACTATAAAATAGAAGAAATACAAAAACAATAAAAATCCCAAATGAAAGCCACCATGTGTATACAATTAAAATAAATTTTAACAGATCACGTGCTAAAGCCCCACATATAATCCTGGTCCTCTCTTCTCCTCCACACAACTTTGTCCATTCAATAATGTCAGTTTCGATGTTATTTTGGAAGTTATAAAAACTGATATTAGAGGTGGCTTGAGAATGTTATTCGTGGACCTTGACTCAGAGTTCTCAGTTCTGAGCATAAAGGTGAGCCAAGTTGTTTCAGTCACTTGCCCTACCCATCCCGTATGCGGGGGTTGAGCGCCGCTGCAGGTGTTCCAAAAGAGGGGGAGTGAGCGAGCCAGCTCTAGCGAAGGTCCCGTCCCCTCGAGATCCAACATGGCTTCTGGCTTTTAGAGCCTCCCTCCCCTCCCAGCCAGGTGGCTGGTGTTGCAGAAGGGGTGGGGTAGCCCGAAGCAGCAGCAGCAGCAGCAGCAGGGTCCCAGTCCTGAAGGCCGAGGGAGTGCAGGCCAGAAATACTCCCAGACACGGTCACCAGCGTTCCTGCCGTCGGGGGAGTTGCCTGTGATAGCTGCCGTCCCCAGGCACGGGGAGAGTGATCGTGTCTGGGAGTATTGGTTGTGAATCCTTTAATAATCTCTGTTGCTTCAATTTATCTGACAATAGTCATGCAGTAAACAATCAGCTTGCTCAGCTGAAACAGCTTGTTAAGAACGTACAACAAGACATACTTCCTTCCTGGTGGGACAGCTTATGGTCATGGCTTCCCAACTTCAGATCGCTTCGCACTGTATTAATGTATGCAATTATAATTTTCGCACTCCTTGTAATTTGCTGTTGTTTTATTCAATGCATTCCAACCTTTTTTTCAGTAATTACTGCTTGTTGCAAACCTCCGCCTTCTGGCCTTTGTAAAAAGGACTTATATGTACTCCATAAGCATATTAAAGAATATATACCTTTAATTAATAAAAAAGAAAAAGGGGAAATGTGGGGTAACGCCCCTCCCCAAAGTTGCTAAGCTGTTGTCTGATTCTACAGTAGTAGAGAACACTCTCCTGGATAACGTCACAGCTGCTTCTGAGAGGAGCCGTGGATACCCAATTCTTCCTCTTTCTCATAGTGAACTATGGGGCCAATTCTAATGGCATTATGTAACCATTGTCCTATCTGAACTCTGTCAACTATCTGTATACTGTCAACTATCCATGAGCTTGTAAGGTTAATAAAACAGAGTCCTCCTGGGGGCGTGGAAGGTCTTCTTTTTCTAGTTGTCCATCAGGAGCACTGCTGGCAGACATCCTTGTGTGTTTGTGGCTGACTTCTTTAATTTCTCTCTCTAAGACTATTTGCTATCCTAATTATCTGGAGATTGCCTAACTATCAGAAGATACTGCCTAACTAACTATCAGAAGAGCCTCGTGGCGCAGTGGTTAAAACGCTGTACTGCAAGCTAAAACTGTGCTCACGACCTGGGGTTCAAATCCCAGGTAGCCGGCTCAAGGTTGACTCAGCCTTCCATCCTTCCGAGGTCGGTAAAATGAGTACCCAGCTTGCTGGGGGGCAATGTGTAGCCTGTATAATTTAAAAAATTGTAAACCGCCCGGAGAGTGCTTGTAGCGCTATGGGGCGGTATATAAGTCCAATAAATAAATAAATAAATAAATAAATATAAATGTCAGCCTTCTCATTTCATGACCCTACAGTTATGTGCCATCAGGTCAGAAACAAATTGTAGCAACCTTAACAGGGCTTTCAAGGACAGTTAGATATTTAAAGAGTGGTTTTACCAGTTCCACTCTCCCAGCGAGCTTCTATGACCAAGTAGACATTTGAACCTTGGTCTCCAGAATTCTAGTCAATCACTCTATCCATTACATTACACTGGATAAAGCCCAGGATAAGCACTGCATGTATGTATTTCTAATGCTCTGATTGTGCTGATGCAAAAGAAAAAGTCTGTATTTGTTAATTAGGGAACAGTAAACTGCATGATTTGGAGCAAAGAGTGGTCGTAACTGACTAGATAGGTGGGATATAAATTCAATAAATAAATAAATAAACATGTCTAAAATGTATATTTAAATATGTTCACTGATTCCACACAACCTAAACCTTTCTTTTAAACTATCAATATTATATTAAATTCAGTTGCTTTTACTGTTGCTGAATACTCTGTTGATGGCAGATTTGTTTAGCTTGTGGAAGGACTGAATAGCTGTTTAACACAGTCAGAACCATTTGCTTACTGCCAGAAGATACCCCTGAAAGTGTCAAAAAATTAATTAATATGAGGTGTTTTCCATGATGGAGACGAGATCGGAGGCTTGGAAAAACTGTATCCTGATAACACCAGTCTTGAGAGAACTGAGAATAAGACTGCACAGGAAAAAGAAAGGCACCTTGAGCTTTCTCTGAATACTGAGGTAATACATTGAATATTCCTTGTATTTGTTTGGATTCCTTTGAAGAAACCTAATCAATTGTATTAGTACTGGTTCAACTAAACATTTTATTATGTATGTATATGATGCTGATGGGCTCCACAGATTGTTTGCTGACAATAGTGTGGAATATATGTCTCTGACTCTTATGTGCAAATTAGGATGGTGGACTGATCCAACAAAGCTTGGAGTTCACCTGTTGCCTCACAAGGGGATTTTGGAAGGGACTGTTCCCCAAATGCTTTATTGCCTCAATTTGCTTTGGAAAAGCTCCTTTTCTGTTCTAATGACATTCATTTTGTGCATGGTTTGGAAGTATCCGAGATGTCTTTTTCTATTCTATCTTTCAATAGCATTCAACAGACTCTTACACACAGCAGTAGGCAATGTGTATTTGAGTACATTGAAGGATAGGGTGAGGAAATAAATAAGTTTAGAAGCAAAGTCAGACATAATGTGTGACAAACTCTGCCCTATACATTTCTGTCAGTCAGCTGAAAAGCTTTTAGTATCATATTGATGAACTTCAAAGCAGCCTTTTCCTGGCTCACAATTCAAATCTTTCCCTCCATAACAGAACAAAGAACCAGACATTGTCTTTGTGAGTGAAAGATCAAGTCTAAGTCTGGATCAAGTTCCCATTGCTACATTTTCTGAAAACAACCAGGGTCTGCAAGACAATCAGGTCATCAAACAGCCAAAAGAACAAAAAGCTCAACAGAAGCTCTTCTCTCTTGTTTAAAAAAGCCCACACATATTTTTTTCAGAACCTGGGAATTTAGAAATATCCTCTGTAAGTGTGCTCCATGCCCTCCTTCTGAGAGGCTTGTTGGCATTGGCAGCTGCTATGGCAGATGGCTGTGAATAAATGGGATGCCAGTTCTCTAGTAGAACACAGACATGGTCAAATGAATAACTTACACTTGCAAGAGGGAAAAGAGATGCCTCTTTGGAGCACGAGCAGAAGAGAATGGGTCTGACCCATCTCAGGAGACTCAAATTTTTAAATGAAGGGGTTCAGTCTGCTAGCACATAAGTTGTGCCTGCTGAAAAGGGTGACAGGTTTGTTTTTAAAAAGCTCAGTCTCAGCCTCATAAATGTGTCTGTACTTCACATATATAAAATTTAAGGTTTTGTTCCCAATATCTCCAGTTACAATATCTCTAATAGCAGAAATAACTTTTTGTGAAGCTGTCATAAGTTCAGCCGAAGAAGATCTGGAATCTGAGGGGTTAATTACAGCTGAGGAAAATGTTGAGCAATCAGAATTGCAGACAGCTGAATCACCCACCAGATTCTCCTCCCCTAGTAGCCAGAGTGAGGGATAAGCTTCAGCAAGGACTCATGACAGGAAGATCAGAGGCTTGCATGTATGCTTCCCATAGGAACATCAGGTTGATCAGCCTTGAGTTTCAGCAGGATGAAGTGTTTAAATGACTGCTGCTGCTGCTATAAAATCTGCATGGAGAGGCTTGGAAGTTTGTGGAAGCAACAAGTCAACACTCTGGCTTGCATCCATGCTCCTGCTTATCTTGGACCTTGTTCTCTGGACCCTTGGCTTTGAACTCTGACTTCTGGCTACAGTTTGTGTTTTGGCATTTTGGTATCTGCTTTGCATCTTCTGGACTTCTCATACTGGACTGGCTTATTGGACTTTTTCCTGTTGAAACGCCCTGGGAACGTGACAGAAGCCTGAAGGACAGCAATTAATATAATTTAACATAGTAAAGGCTATTTCCTATGTTCATGTGACTTATGGTAACACCATGTTGAGAGAATTATGGGGAAACCATCTTGTTTGAAAAAGTCTTTACAATCAGTAGAGAGCCTGTAGAACTTGGTAACATTCTCCTGATTCTCAGTCACACAACCAAAGACAAGCCCCATTGATCCCACAGAAATAGACCAACATTCACATTGTACCCCCTTACCTGTTTCAGGGTCACACTCATGTTCACAGGGGTCAAGGAGTCGTCGGGCACATAAGTCCAATGCCCAGGGCCCGCTGGAGTTTTGCTGAGAGAAAAGAATCACCTGGGCAGGGTTTAACCAGTCACTGGCATCCAATTGGCTGCCCTCTAGCAAGATAAACCGGCTTCCTGTAAGGTACATAAAAAATGGAGACTTGTTACATTATGAAAAAACTGCCTTTCAGAGGCTTGTGTCTCCACCCCAGCTCATGTAAGGTCTATATCATCTTTGAGTTGCCCCATGCCCCTTTGCTCTTTATGTTAATATCTGCTCATTATTATTAATTCCAAAAACAAAGCAGGAAAAAAGTCTATAAAATGACTGAGCATTTTGAAAAATGTAGGCTTTTGCAGTTTAAATTTCATGTGCAAATGCACCTCAAGAATTGTTCTTCTTAGATCATTTCCAAGTCCAGATTTTCTTTACAAATAACGTTGTGTCCTCCAATTAAATAGAAAGCACAAAACATTTGCTATCCAGTTGTTCATTTATTAAGTAATATCAGTATGGCCTATGCCTGGTAAAGTCATGGCCACCCAGCACATCCTTCCCAGAAGGAAGCATTTGTTCCTAAACTACAAGAAGCTGCAACCAGCTCTTTAAAAGGAAGGGGGGGGGAATCTGTGACCAATAAGCAATATTCTCCCCTCTAGTCACATCTTAGCACCAAGAAAGGTTGGTTTTAAACTCTGCAGTTCCCATTCTCCTGCTTATACAGAAGCAGCTACTTCTCTCCAGAGATGTGGGGTCTCTCCATTATACTCCAGAAATCATTGGGAATGGTTATGGTTTCTCAGAAGTATTTGTCCCAGAAAACTAACAGGCATGCTGGACTGGATCCAAATCAACATCACGGTCCCAGTCATGCAGCAATGGCACCATTTGTGTGTGCTAGGCTGAGGTACAAATGGCCTTTCCTGGAAAATGAAGCCTTCCCTACTTTGCCCCTTTACATCACTTTTTGGAGGAAGCTGGGATAGCAGGCATACTTCAGACACAGCCTGAACATCCCAGCTTGAGCCTTGGCCATAGATGCTTTCACACAAGTCTCCTGCAGGAATCTTAGTTCTTTTCACTTTCTCAATAGAATCTCCAAACTTCTCTGGCCCTGTGTATATTGTACTAAGAGTGTGGTTGCATTATACATTTATAACATTTTGGCATGATCTTAACTACCATGGCTGTGCCCTATGAAATTCTGGAATTTGTACCCTGCTGATACCCTTAGGTTTCTCTTCAAGATTGCTTTTGTGTACTCCTGGAACTACAGCAAGGCAGTCTTAATATCTCACCAAACTACAAATAAAAGAATTTCACAGGATGGAGCCATGGGCCAAAATCCAAAGCTGCACACAGGAAGGAAATGAGTAGCATTTCTCCCCTCTTGTAGGCTCCCCTTCATACAACTAGGTGCACCATTGATCTCATGTCTGGCTTTACAATCACTGCAAGATCAGGCACATGAAGGAGAGCCTGCCAGAAGCAGGAAATGCTTACATCATGACTCCTATAAGAATCATTTCACATGTCTCATAAGACAGTTCACATGGGAGGAACAGACCAAGCTGATGACACAGCTAGTGACACTGATGAGTGTCATGATAGTCTTGCTTACATAGCTCCTTGGTGAAATCACTGAAATGGCAAAGTGAATAGCATTCTGGCCATTGCAATTAAAGTGGCATCAAACTGCTATAACTGTATAGTCTAGATGTGATACAAGTTGGCTTCGATGAGAAGATGTAAGTAGCCAACAAATCTGAGGCTGAAAGCTAGCCAAATTGCCTGTCTGAGAACTCCAGTGATTTTTTAAAACACACACACAAACATACACACATATCTAAAATGTTTACTTTTGCTGTCTCCTTGTCCTGACCTGGTTTCAAACAGGCCAATTTGCTTTACAGGAGATCATCTATATGCATGAACATGCACACACACAACCTCTGATACTGATCTAGCAGAAGGTGAAGAAGGATAGCAGGTAGAACTGGTTTACCATCAGCAATGAGATGCTCTGGAACATGCAATATTATCTTGACCACAAGGGGGCAGTTTACATGGGAGGCACAGACCAGGCTGATGACACAACTGGTGACGCTGATGAGTGTCAGGGTAGTCTTGCTGACAGGGCTTCTTGGTGAACCCACTGAAATGGCAAAAGCGGGGAGGGGAAAGAGGAAGAAGAAAGTCTCATCATGAGATAGGCCATGTTCCACCTAACACAACTATAGACCACAACAAGATTGAAACAAAGCAAATTAACCTCAGGGGGAGAGTTAATGGAATTAACATGTAATAAACAAATTATGCAATTTGTTGGAGGTGTAGCCTACCTCATTCCAAGCTCAGAATGAATGACAATATACTGTACTAATTATTGCACTCTATGCTGCCCTGTGTCTCGCTACAATCAGAATTGTAAAAATATAATACACCAGCTCTGGAAGATGCACAAGCCAAAATTTGTTGGTGCATTTAAAATTGCAATTCTATACCCATATATTTGACGGTCAGAATTAATGAATTCAATGAGACTTACATCTGAGTAGGCACATAGTGTAATAATTCTAATATTCTGGGAAACCTCCTTCAGGCAAAAATAATATATGGTGGCCAGAATCCTCTTGGTTATTTAGGCTGACATGAGTACACTGGCATGCATTTAGTTAATGAGTTGGCACTTAATCAATCATGACGAAGTACACAAGACTTGACTAGATGCAATTTGCCAGTGCACCCGACATTAGTGTAAATAACCAATAGGTTTCTTACCAACATGATCAGTACAGTGTGATCAATACCATATCAATTACATACATTAAATTCTGTGGGAGAATCTATCCTTGAATATTTTCACTTTATTCATGCAGTGAAGAAAATAACAGGACCTTTGTTATAAGCCTCATATTATTCATGAGCACCTAAATCTTTCTCTTGCTCTATTTATAACAAAAGTAGTAATATCACAAATAAATGGTGTCAGAATTCACATATATTATTTGCATATTACTGACAACACCATGTAAAATATTATTTCCATATATCGTTAAGGGTTTCAGACTGAAACGTACTTGCTTGCCTACGGCCAACTGAGTCTTTGGTAGACATAAAATTGAACTCAAGATCTTCTACTCCGCACATTCTTAGCCATTAAGATACATGCCTGTCAGTTGTTCCTATCTCTAAACTTAAAAATCTAAACTTAAAAATCTTTTATATATATATATAAACCCACCATGACACAAGAACTATGAAGCTGCTTTCATTTCAGCCTGCCTTTCTTCAAGGCCCGGTTGGTCAATTAACTTGGTCCAGAAGAGACAAATAACCAGCAAAAAGAAGAGAAAGATGTATGGAAGAAAAATCCCTGGATTAACTCTCTGTCCCTATAACAGGTGCTTCACCAATGCGATGGGAGAGAGAGGCTGGCAGGACTAACCAGAAATAAAAGCACAAAGAATTCTGAACAGCGTGGCTAAGCCTCACGTGATGCTGGCTATCTGTTTGCTTGCATTTCCAACAGTACCACTGGAGCAGCTTTGCACCAGTAAGCAACTTCTGGGCTAGAAGTGTGTTCTTTCCCTCCTCTTCAAACTAGAACAAACACAGCTGTTCCCCACTTATGAGGAGAATTTTCAGACCACTGTAGAAGCAGTAGGTGGTGGAAGACAATGGAAGTGAGAGTTATGGAGGTTGGCAAGGAGATACAGAGACACTGAGATGATATGCAAATTCAAGAATAGGTGATACCTTTACAGACCACTTAAAAATCACCATATAATATGCGAGCTTTCATGGATAAAGATGTGGCTTTCGTAAGATGAGACATAGAGCCAGGGAAGCATGGAGAGAAAGGTAGGGTCAGGTATATACCCAGAGGATGCATCTGAGTGACCTGGATGTGTCCTGTCTCTTCAAGGCGGAAAACATCTAACATACGGACTGAACTTTACCATTTGCCTCAATTGCTTTGATTTACAAATAGGATGTATAATTTCCAGAAGCAGTGTCAGCTGGCAGACTGTACCCTAAGTTGTGACTAAGAACAGCAATACCCCTCATTACTAGCCCACAAATACAAGCACTGCAAGCTCCTTGGGGTAATTAATGGCAGTTTATAGAGTGTTTCACTTCACCCACTCCCTCCAAACTGGATCTATCACTGTCTCTGACATGCACTTCTGAGTGGCAGCCTCTATCCATGTCCCTTGGGCATCAGGGCATCCTGCCATCTACTATCTCTGACAACCCATATGGTGTCTCAGCAGGTCAGGAGCAATGCTCAAATATGCAGGAAGTACAACACAACACAACTTGAAGTCTTAGACAAACTCATACTTAGCAGCTTTTAATTCCTGACCTGGGCTATAGGAGATCTGAAAAGCATGGATTGTATGTGTGTGTGTGTATTTTAGCCAACTGCAGGGAGGCTCTCTTTTTGTATCAAAACTGAAAATACAATATGTTGCTTAAAAATATTCAGTTTAAATTGCTGAGTTTCAAACCAAATGAGTAGGGGAAAGGGTTTTCTTCCAAAAAACCCAAACAATCCCAAAATCGAAAACAAAACAGCAGAACGCTTTTGTTTTTCTGTCTGCATATGTGCTGAAGAAAGGCTTGGCTTATAAATCTACCACTTTTTAATCCACTCAGTTATGAGACAACTGAAGCTGAAAGTTAAATCCTTCTTCAAAACTCACATTAGACTTGACTCCCAAACAAGGCAAAGCACAAGTGCAAAAAACTTTGCTTCATCCCTTACAATCCTTCCTTCTCTCCCAATCCACACTCCTCCTGATCCTTGCCTCAGTTGTTCAGTGTGAACAGGAAATCTATTTGCACCTGTTTAAAGTACTGCATACATTGGCAACCAACAAGAGCTCTTGAAAATCCTTCCTAGAGCCTGTAGCAAAGATCCATTTGACTTTGGGGCAAGAGAGAGTGACACCTCATCAAGCTTAAAGAGTTCTGCCTGTTTTCATTTCCCTGCCATTTTCCAGAATTTACTGCATGCCCCTTTAGTCTCTCGGTGTTAATTCTTCTACATGCTTGACCTACATTGTTCACTGCCATATTTATTTTATTCCTTTTGCTTTCTTGCTAGCATCTATCTATTATATCTATATATACATATATGTCTTATTTTCAGGAAAAGAAAGATATTAACCAATGCTAAGGAAAATTCAACTATAGTTTCAGAGAGAGAATAAAATGGCAGCAGTGCTTTCCAAGGATTTACACTGCAACTCTCATGGGAACTACTTGTTGGAAACAAAGAGCACAGATGCTGGCTTTCTGCCTGGGCAACATTTCCCAACCCAACAGACTTCTTAATCTGTGTCATGCACAATTCCTTTTCCCCTAGTTCTGAAACGGAGTTTAGCACGCAGATGCACATATAGCCTTGTTTCCATTGAACAAAGGCTGGTCACTTCAGGGCCAAAACAATCTAATCAGTTTTTGTCCTTTTCACAAGAATGTCTAAGCCTGTTTTAAGAAGCATCAGCGGAAAATCAAGAAGTCACCAGAGAATTCAGTTCAAGGAAAAACCACCAATAAACATCTCTGCAACAGTCAGATGTGACCTATTATGATCTGAAAAAAAAAAGTTTTCTTTTTGGAAGGTGTTTATTAACGTAGTCCAAAATGCTGTTGTGTACATTATGCCAGTGTAAGGGTAATCATCCTCTTCATGGATTGCTGCCTTGTTGTGGCAAAGGGGCTTGAGTAATTCAGAGAAGCTATGGGCTATGCCGTTCAGGGACACCCAAGACAGACAGGTCATAGTGGAGAGCTCTGACTAAACACAATCCACCTGGAGCAGGAACTGGCAAGCCACTCCAGTATCTTTGCCAAGAAAACCCCATGAACAGAAACAAAAGGCTAAAAGATATGATGCTGGAACATGAGCCCCTCATGTTGGAAGTCATCCAACATGCTACTGAGGAAGAGTGGAGGACAAGTACAAGTAGCTCCACAGCTAATGAAGTGGTTGGGCCAAAGCCGAAAGGATGCTCAACTGTGGACATGCCTGGAAGTGAAAGGAAAGACCAATGCTGCAAAGGAAAATACTGCATAGGAACCTGGAATGTAAGATCTATGAACCTTGGTAAGTTGGATGTGGTCAAACAGGAGATGGCAAGAATAAACATTGACATCCTGGGCGTCAGTGAACTAAAATGGACGGGAATGGGCAAATTCAATTCAAACGATTATCATATCTACTACAGTGGTGCCTCGCTAGACATAATCTGTTCCACTGAAATCGCTGTTTAGCGAAATAACTGTCTAGCGAAAAGCATTTCCCCATTGGAATGCATTGAAACCTGTTTAATGCGTTCCAATGGGGAAGAATCATCATTGTCTAGTGAAGACCGGCCATAGGAAAGCCGCTTTGCGAACCACCGATCAGCTGTTTAAATCGCTGTCTTGCGAAGCTTAGGTCCCGAAAACACCTGTTTTGCGAGTGTGAAGGGAGCTGTCTAAATCGTCGTCTAGCAAAAATCAGTTTGCGAAGCAGGGACCAAACATTGTCCAGTGAAATTCCCCCATAGGAATCACTGTTTTGCAAATCACTATAGCGATCGCAAAAAGTCAATGTTTAGCGAAAAAACTGTCATGCGGGGTAACTGTCTAGCGAGGCAGCACTGTATTGTGGGCAAGAATCCGGCAGAAGACATGGAGTAGCCCTCATAGTCAACAAAAGAGTGGGAAAAGCTGTATTGGGATACAATTTCAAAAATGATAGAATGATTTCAATACGAATCCAAGGCAGACCTTTCAACATCACAGTCATCCAAATCTATGCAACCAACCACCGGAGCTGAAGAGGCTAAAATTGACCAATTCTATGAAGACTTACAACACTGACACCTAATTAAGATGTTCTTCTCATTATACGGTATGGAATGCTAAAGTAGGGAGTCAAGAGATAAAAGGAATAACAGGTAAGTTAGGCCTTGGAGTTCAAAACGAAGCATGGCAAAGGCTAATAGAGTTTTTTCAAAAGAAGAAGCTGGTCATCACAAACACTCTTTTCCAACAACACAAGAGGCAACTCTACACATAGACATCACCAGATGGGCAATACCGAAATCAGATTGATTATGTTCTCTGCAGCCAAAGATTAAGAAGCTCTATGCAATC